CCATAAAGAATAGGAGAAGGGCTTCCCTGGTGGCGCAGTGGTTGAGAGTCCGCCTGCCGATGCAGGGGACACGGGTTCGTGCCCCGATCCGGGAAGATCTCACATGCCGCGGAGCAGCTGGGCCCGTGAGCCATGGCCGCTGAGCCTGCGCGTCCGGAGCCTGTGCTCCACAATGGGAGAGGCCACAACAGTGAGAGGCCCGCGTACCGCAAAAAAAAAAAAAAGAATAGGAGAAATAGTAAGGGATCTAATACGTATACTGATCAACCTATGACTAATTGAACTTGTAAATTAAGCCATCATTCTTACCCCTTACTTGGCATCTTTCATGCCAGATGACAAGGATTCTTTTCCCAACCAAACTTTAGTCAGGCTCCTGAACCTTCTTTTAGGCTTATCTGTGTACTTCCTTGTAAAACTGAATTTCAGCAAGAACCTTGCTAAGTCAGTTTAGCAAGAGCCCCCCACCCTCAGTATCTGTTCTCTCTCATATCTGATTAGGTTCTTCATCTACTACCATCCCTCAGGTGATGTCTCATCACCCTGGCCTGTCATCAGCAAGAATCTTGTTAGGTTAGTTTAACCAGAATCCCCTTTACCCCTTATGTTTCCTCTTAGTAATTTTCTAGTCACTGAACTCTACCCTGGTCCTTGGCTGTTAATTCCCACTGGCCCATGGTGTATTGAAAACTGAGCCTGGTTTATATACTGAGATCTCTTAGCCACTATTGCAATAGTCCTGAATAAAATCCATTTTTTACTGCTTTAACTACTGTCCAGCTCTGGTTTTCTTTGACACAGTTGAGAGAAAGATTCTTTTTTTGCAAAAGACTATTGTCTTTATTTTTGTGTCCGCTTTGCCTGGCACTTAGTAGTTCTTTAGTAATGCTTTTGAATGAATAAATGATAGCTAGTTTGAACCCCTTCTAGATTTTCATGAATCTTTGATATTTATGGTGTACATGCCCTTCTCATTTTTTTATACTTAGCAATATCTGCTTTTTGTTATTAGGAACCTGCAAACAGGCCACTGGGTGTGTTTATATTGATACATGGCTTTTATTCCTTACCTTACGTTGGGCCATCTTAATAACATCAGTTGGTTACTAAAGAAATAATTATATTACGCCAGGTCCAGAGAACTGACTTTTTGTAGACCTCAGTGGCAGACTCCATCCTCATTCCATTAAAAAAAAAAAAAGATAGATATACATATGTATACACACAGAATCAGAGAATCAGTTTTCTTATTTGCACATTGACCATTTTAGGATATACTTCTGGCTCTGACAAAACTATTTAAGAAAGATTCTATGGGGCTTCCCTGGTGGCACAGTGGTTGAGAGTCCGCCTGCCGATGCAGGGGACGCGGGTTCGTGCCCCGGTCTGGGAAGATCCCACACACCGCGGAGCGGCTGGGCCTGTGAGCCATGGCCGCTGATCCTGCGCGTCCGGAGCCTGTGCTCCGCAACGGGAGAGGCCACAACAGTGAGAAGCCCTCGTACCGCAAAAAAAAAAAAAAAAAGTAAGATTCTATGAAGTTACCCCAATTATTAAAATCATTCTCTAAACCTTGGATTTTCTTCACTTTTCTGCCAGCATTCAGATAACTTTCTCTCTTTTAATGAATACCAATTTTTATCATTCATGCATTCTGAGCACATGAGCCTTTTCCTTGACCCCTAGGACAGCCTTTTTATGCATCTTTGTTTTCCTGTTCTAAGATCACCACTGAGAGCGTTTCACTTTCTTTTGGAAATGTCTCTAAATATGTGTATCCCCTGTCTGTCATTTATTGCTTAGTTCTAAAGAATGCTTGAGTTTCATCCTGAAGAATAGATTGAGAAACACATGACAGACTTGAATGCCGTGCCTGGACACGTGATCTACCTGTCAAGCAGTACAGTTACAAATGGGCTGTGAGTTAAATTCTAGTGAATGGCAGTATCATTATTCAAGATTTCACCTTTTGTCTCAGTCTTTATACTACAGAAATGTGTTGCTATTTGTTTTTGAGGAGACATCAGTTTGACCTCTCATTATCAGAGGTTAGTTTTAAGTATCAAATAGAAATAAGCAATGGCATTCTTTATATGTAGCGATTGATATAGCAGACTGGGAATGAAAGAAATTTTTAGAATGATGTTAACTGGAAATTCTTTTTAAGTGGAGAGACAGATCATTATTGTTAAATATTTCATTTTAAAAAAAGACATCACTTTAAAGTTAAAAGCAAGAATGATGGAAATGAAAAGGAGCAAGAGATTGAGGGAATGATTGAAGAATAATTGTAGGGGGACTTCCCTGGTGGTCCAGTGGTTAAGACTCCACGCTTCCAATGCAGGGGGCGTGGGTTCAATCTGGGTGGGGAACTAAGATCCCACGTGCCACGCGGTTGGGAACAAAAAAAAAAGAATAATTGTAGGTATTTAAGAAAGAGGGCCTTCTTCCTCCCATTGTGATCTCTCTTCAGTGAAAATGGCAAAACAAAAGGCAGCAAAATCGGAAGGAAGCAGGAAATCTTAGTTAGTGACCCACAGATTTGAATATTTAAGAGCCATGAAAATGCTTGCTTCTGTTACATTTTAATTCTCTTCCCCAAAACTTATTTTTGCCTTTTTTTCTGCTTTTAGAAAGTCTTGATTTTTCATCTCTATTTCCTAGTAAGGATGCAATGAAATAAAATTTGGAAGCCATAAATTGTGATGTGACTGTGCAAAACCAAGTTAAATTTTGAATTCTGTGGTTTGAGGAAAACCATTCCAGAATTTATTTAATCAACTTCCTATACCTGTGCTGCCCCACTTCTCAGCCAAGACCCTTTTCCTCCTCTAAATCGGTAGAAAACTGAGAAAACTTAGCCTCAAAAAACATAACTAAGGTAAAAATAAGGAATCCTGCCTGCTTATGTTACATCTGCTCTATCCCTTGTAGTTTACTTCCTGATTGAAAATAGGTTAGAGGATCTTGTTGAAATAAAATTCTCATTTAGTGATTTTATTAGAAAAGCAGGTTCTGGGACTAGGAAGTAAAATTACCTCCAGCACAGCAGTTGTTAGGAATTTTTCCAGAGATCAGTTGCTTTCCAGAAATGTTCTGAGTTTTCAGCCATAATGGCATTGGTCTTTGCATTTATTTACTGTTGTATATTTGTATTTATTTTTTGCACTGTGTTGTAGTTCTAGAAAGTGTATTTAAAACAAACGAACAAACAAACCAGAAGACCTCCTTGTCCTGGGGCTGTGTGAAGAATAAAGCTCTCATTTTCCCAGTACCAATCATCAGCTTGAGCTGGCCTCTCCCAGGAACAGAATTTATTGAAGCAATTTATCCTGGCTAAATGTGATATAAATCTGTGTACACCTATGTACATACAGGCTCTCTTCCATTACAGCAGTGCTGCAGCATCAGTTTCCTTCATAGTCAGACCCTGTTCCTATCACAATGAAGGATTGCTAAGAAGCCCTTTGTATTTTATGGGGCACCCCACAATTTTAAACAGCGATTAGTTGTGGAATTACTGATCAGACTACCAGAAATACGGGTTTCCAACCCTAGAGTGAGTCTTAAGAGAGTAGGAGAGATGTTACCACTGCCCTCTGAGTTTTAGGCATGGTTTTCTGATTGCCAGATTTGGTCTAGCACTTTAATATTTATTTTGACGTAGATCTGACTGAGGTTAACCTGACATTTTGGTTTATCTCCAAGATGAAAATTCGAAATTTGGTTATAGTTCTGAAGTCGTTTCTACGCATATTCAAATTGTAGTTCTTCCTCTTTCATCTTCCCTTGTTCGTATTCTTTCATACAGCTTTCTGTCTTGTAGAAGGATGTTTGAAAATGTCCTTTAGGAGTTTATTTTATAAAGACTATTTTTGTGACCCCCCCCCTTTTTTCTCTTTCACTCTTTCAAAATACTCTATATCTTTTAGGAATATTTTTACTATGATTTGCATTTCTAATCCTTATCCATCTCCACCTCTATTTTTATTCCTAGTTGGGATATGAGAAATTTCCCCAACACATTCATTTGGAGTTATTGTTCTTTGACAAAGAATTTTGATCAACATTTCAAAAGTTTAGCTTCAATAATTAAAAAACAACAACAGTATAAACCCTGTTAAATTCTAAAGAGAAACGGAGAGGATGGATGGTGATGCCTTTTAGTGCCATTTCTTTTATCCCATGCAGCAGCACACATCTGTTGGCTACAACAGAGCAGCCCAAGAACTCTGGCCGAGAGCAGCACAAACAGCCGGAACATATTCACCCAGTAAACCCCCAAAGAGTCGACATTTGTTTTATTGCTGCTTTTAAAAACCTAGCCATAAATAGAATCAGGGGGGAAGGGCACCGATATTTCTCCATTTGCCACCGACGATTGGTGGGGGGAGAAGGAGGCTCCCCGTGGGGAGAGAAGGGTTTTATTTTTATTTTTTTATTAATGAAAATCATTTCCCATGTAGCCCAATAGGATGGGTGCTTTGTTTTCTTTGGCAATAATCTGGGATAAACGGCCCTTGCCAACAGTCTCATTGTTTATACACCAGGGAGCCAGATTATGGCCCTGTAAAATGGAGCACCCCTCCTATAATCCCTTAATTAATTAAATGACAAATTTTGGTCTTCTCTAGTTCAGAAATATGGCTTCCGCATCGAGCGTTCAGTGGATTTATTGACATAGGGAACTGCACTGGTTGTAATTCAGCAGACTGGAGAAGTGTGTTATATAGTAGCAGAAAGAGGGAAAAATCTAGTAAAAGGCTTGAAATTCCTTGACTCTTTAGGTTTAAATTTTTCTAATTAAAAGTTTCAACTGAGGCACAGTAGATCATATGCCACCTGTCTAATGGGTCTCCCCAAAGTAGCCTGTGTTTACAGCTTTGATAGACGGCATTCTTGGAACACCTGTTTCTAGTCTCGATATTTTTGAAGCACTTTTTTTTTTTTTAACTCCAACGTATTTAACATAACTTTTCCCCCTACCTCCCCCTCCTCAGCTCCGCTCTGCTATATGAAATATGGGAGACGACAGACCGTTTGTGTGCAATGCCCCGGGCTGTGGACAGGTACGTTTACAATATACTTTATTGTGAATGTCTCGTTGTGAATCAAAGTGGCTGTTTTATCACTGAGGCAAAGAGTTTAAAGCCAGTGTTTTACGTGATCACTGGAGGTAATCAGATCAGAGGATTTGTAGTGTGTAAATCCAAGTTATGAGGAAATGTAGACACTCTACCGTAATGAAACCTGCCTTGCTCTCTTTCATATTGTTATTCTACTGGTGTTTGTTTCGCAACACACAGTGTTGAGGAATACATGTTGCTCTCGCCTCCTTTCTAAAGCTATTTATTTAAACACAAAGCAAGTTTAGAAATATCCTTTCTTCAACCTTCATGGATGTAAAAGCCTGCTTAGCATATTTGGATAGGAAGCTGAAAATGCACCCATTCATTGTGAACCTCAATTTGCCAGAGTCTATTTTGGATTTTCTAAATAAGAAAAGGTTTCTTTTGACTGTTGATCAAGAAAATCATTGTTAGCAGCTAAGGCAAATACCTGTCTAGGAAGGACAAATCCAACATAGAATCCGAGATCTCACAGCAATGTATCAGCTACAAGTTTTCTCAGCCATTTTCCCTGTCTGACACCATTAAATGCCTTGTTCTGTGTGTTAGCTGCCATGTTATTGTTTGTATGCGTATACATTGTGTCAAATATTTTTCATCATGTACTTTTTAAATAATTTTGTTGAAACTGCCTTTTTTTTTTTTTTCATTTTGTACCTTCTTAACACTTATTCCTAGATCCTCCCATTCTGCCATGTTCCGCAAAGAATGAAGAAAGGAATACAAAGAAAGTTTTATTCAAGAGAGTTTTATTTGCCTTCAACAGTTGATTTTATGGAGCCTGAAGGGTTGAATTTCTTTTCAGTTAGGAATATGTCATGTGACTGTCCAGTGACACTTACTGGTAGTATGTGGGATTGCAGAATAGTTCTATTAAACATTGTAAATACTCAGAGAAGTATAAAAAGAAGAGAGTTAAGTTCCAGAGATTCCTAAGAATTGGAATTTGAGAGACAAATAGGGTTGGTGACAAGGAATGGGCAGAAGGATGACTCCAAATTCCAGTAAATGCTGAAAATTTCATAAAAGACTAAAAAAGCCAATTCTGAAGTATTTAGCATTGTAGAGTTTATTTCCTTCCTTGTCAAAGCTTTCAGCTGTATTGTTTGTTGACTGCATGTTTTCCTCATGTGGGGTGTGTGTGTGTGTGTGTGTGTGTGTGTGTATGTGTGTATATTTTTTTTTACAATAGAAGCCACTTGGGAAAATAGAGTAAATTTGTTTCACTTTTCAGACAGCTTTATGGGAGTACATACCTGAATCTGATTCCTCCAAATTTTTGTGTGTGAATTTGTTGATTATAGTGCTTACTGTGACTCCCATAATAGTTACCGGGTACCCTTTTTACTTATCTCACTTACTTTAAAGAACCTGCACTTTTGGTGAAAAGATTTATTTTTCTTCACTTATTGTTTAAGCTGCTCAGTGCCCCTCTTATGTATTGTATGCTTAAGACTACCCAGACAAGGGCTTAAATAAATAAAAATGGATGGTAAAACTAAAGGAATACATAGGAAAAGCATCTCTTAAGCTTTCTGAGAAAGAAAACATATCAATAGGGTTTCTTCAGGCTATCTCATCAGAAAAAAGTAGTTTTCACCGAGATTTGTGAGATCCCAGAAGGGCTTTGTGTTTGTTTCTTTGTTTTTGTTTTGCATTATTTTGGACAAGAGGTAGGAAAACAGGGATTTTTACTTTGGGTCCTTCTTGTATTGTTGGGTTCTGTTTACCATAAGCCTTTTCCTTCCACTACTTTTCCCTCCCATTTCTGAATTGTTTGTTGGTATTTTGGTCATTAGGATTCATTATAACCTCTGGCATAGATCCTGAGGCTTTTTTTTCCCTCAGTGAGTGTGGAACTGAGGGAGATTGCTACCTTCTTTTGGATTCAAGTTACCTGTTTCATAGAAAAAAGGATAAAAAGCTACAACTTAAGGCTTTGAGGTAGCATGATTCATCCTTTTACCTGCTTTGCCTGTCAAAAATTTATGGTCAGGTGAGATTGTAGTTCTTTTAATATTTATTTACTTGCTTATTTATTTATTTATTTGGTTGCACTGGGTCTTAGTTGCTGCAGGTGGGCTCCTTACTTGTGGCATGCGAACTCTTAGTTGTGGCATGCATGTGGGATCTAGTTCCCTGACCAGGGATTAAACCCAGGCTCCCTGCGTTGGGAACACGGAGTCTTATCCACTGCGCCATCAAGGAAGTCCCGAGATTGTAGTCCTTTAGTTATATTTAGTCTCCTTTCAGGTTTCTCCCAATATCTAGTAACAAATAACTCTAGAGTGGGATCTCTACAAGATTTACTATGATTGCTTTGTTATATGAAATAGTGAAAATCTGACAGAGAAGATAAATTTGGTAAAGTGAACTACCCTTGGCCTGTCGTCCCAACTTCCTTATTACCTTGAAAATGGTTTCATTCTGTAGCCACTTTGAGGCCTTCAAGCCTATTTATAATCAGTTGTCACTGATTCATTGATTACTCCAGAAATGGTAGAATAATAAAAAGGCTATGTAAGTCCCAGGAGAGGTAATAAGGACCATGATCATTTTTGCAAGGCATGTTTAGAACTCAGCAGCCATAGAAGTCTCAAAAATCAGTGGCTTCTACCAGTTAGAGGAAGAAGGAATGAAAGCAAATTATAATTCAAGAGACTGATCCATAAAAAAACCAACCAACAAAAACTGTAGGAATCTTGTATTATTTAAATATCTGTTCTCTGCCCAGATTTTACCCTGTGTACCCTTAAATTCAGAAATCATCTTATGCCATAATATTAAGGGGAGGTGAAAGGAAAATTCACCTAAAATAGACTAGTGGATTATGTGCTCCACCATATAATCAAAACCACCGGGCTTTCAATGGATACGTAAACATGTTTTGGTTGCTAGGTCTTTAATGGCTGTTATTTTTGGATTCTGTTCATGATCCACTTCCCAACAGTAAGTCTGATGTGACACAGCTGAGTTCTAAATATGCTACATGTACTTTTTAAAAAAAGATGGCTGCTGAAGTTTGTGTTCTTTGCATTCTTATCTGAAAAGACAGGTGATAGAGTTTTTTGAGCTAACTTATTCCTATTCTCCTGTTGAGTCTCTGTTTCTCTTGAGGCCTCATCACCCTCATGAAGAGGAACTCAGGGAAAGTAATATTCCTGCTAATATTTCTTTACAGAATGTGGTCGCAGGAATAGTTAATAGAGCTGCCTCTGGAGAATGGGTTAGTGTTGTTAAGGCAGCAGAGCCCCAGATACCCTGTGGTAAAGCGCTGGTTGAATTTGAGTTGTATGGGTTTCAGAAATGTTTATAAGATAGCATCTATTTAAAAAACATTGTAACTATAAAATAGCTTTGCCTCTGTGTTATTAAAATATTAGAAATACAGTTTGGTGCTGAATCTAGGAAGTCTTGTAAGTTTTTAATGCTTGGGGGGCACTTTTACTTGAAGGTGGATTATAAAGTTCTGTGGCATGTGGAAGCAGGAAAAATTACTGTGTGTCAGTAATCTTGAATTTGAGATGTTACTTCATGTGGATACAGTTCGGTAACTTACCTTTTGGATGCCTTTTGTCCTTTTTTTTTTTGGCCATGCCTCCGGGCTTGTGGGATTTTAGTTCCGTGACCAGGGATTGAACCCGGGCCCTCAGCAGTGACAGCATGGAGTCCTAACCACTGGACCACCAGGGAATTCCCTTAAAATGTTTTATTGGAAATTTGTACCTTTTTTTTTTTTTTGGCCGCACAGCACTGCCTGTGGGATCTTAGTTCCCCAGCCAGGGATCGAACCCGTGCCCCCTGCAGTGGAAGCTCAAAGTCCTAACCAGTGGACTGCCAGGGAATTCCTTGTCCAATATTTATTACCAGGAGTCAACAATTTCCATATTCCTATACCTCCCTTTCAGGCCCATGATGCTGGTTTGCAGTATGAATTATGCAGATTTAAGTAGTTCTGGTTACCACCATCAAGTCTTTGAGCAGAAGCTGGTTGTATAAGCTTCTTACTTAGAATGTCTATTTCCTTAAGAACAGGAACACATTTCCTCTGAGAAGGTACTATTCATGGATAATATCATCCCATTATTAGCCATTTTTGAGAAAGGTTTCTGTTATAACCACTGTGTATCGACTCTGTCCTTTTAAGGAAAAATCCTTTGATTGTTTCTCTACCCATTGTGATGCTGAGGTGCTGTTATTCTATCCCCACCCCACCCCCACCGAGGATATCTACTACCAGATCTTTTCTTCTCCCAGAGAACATTTCAGTACAGGTTGATGTTCTGTTCATATCTCTCTGAGACACTACACGCATAACTAGTTCAAAGACCTCCGGAGCCTGCTTTCCCTTCCGAAGGCCAGGGTAGCAGTAGAGCCCTAGTTGTGGTGGGATGGAGGGCAGCTTCTTTACATCCTTATCTTGTCATATAATAGGAATAATGTTTATGGTGCTGTAGTCCTGGCTTCACTTGGCATTTAACCAACCTCCAGTGCTGTTTATTGCTTCGTATCCTCTGCCTCCATGAACATTATCCCTTAAATCTCTATTGCTTTGTAATATATGAGGCAACAAATAGCTTCTATGATTGGTTAAATGCTGGCATGCTGCATAGGTGTATATTTTATTGCCTATGTAACACAAATCTATAGAGATTATTCCTGTTATCCCAGCCCTCCCATGAAATAGGCTCTGCTGGTACTGTGGGACTCTGGATTGTTAGTTCTGTCCCTTTGGCAGGTTTTCCTATTAACTGGCATTGGCACAAAAGAAAAGCAAGGAAGAATGGCTGGTGTTGATTACTAATTCTTTATGTTAGGGGAGCATCTTGAATTGGAGAATAACAGGAAAAAATGGCTCTGGTACATAAACACCACTTGTGGTGATATGTGCTGTGATATGTGCTATCTTTACATGCTTCAACAGGTGAAAACAATTTCAG